CACACAGCCCTGCACACCTCTGCAGCCCTCAGAGCACCTCACCAATGGAGCTGGTGGCAAATGTCTGTTTTGCAGGTGGTGAAATGATGATGGAGTGCCTTGGCCAAACTCATCCCAAAAGGTCAGTGGCAGAAATGGGAGTAAAATTCAGGACCATCAAGGCCCTGTGTAGTGCATTATCCATCATCACAGGGCTCTGTAAATGGAGCCCTGCTAGGCTGAAGCCTGTGCTCTGCAATGGTTGGATGTTTTCTAAATTGCTACAGATTTCAAATATATACCCATAGCAAAAGCTGCACCCATTAAAAAACAAAGGAAAGAAGTTACAGAGATGAAGATGTAAATGCTACATTTGTTTAGAGTAACCAAGCAGAAATGTAAAAAACATCTCAAATAAAGCACTTCCACATTTTTTTTCTGTTCTGTACAACCTTTGGTTACAAGGTTGGGTCCATCTGCTGCCTATAGAGTCCCTGGAGAGCAGGCCAAGTAAAGATGCACAGGAATGACAACTCGAGGCTTAAATTGCTATCAACATTTGCAGCATGAACACAACACAAAGCATGCAGAAAGGCAGTTGTAAAGTTCTACCTGGGGTTTTAACTCAAAGCACACTTTTCCAGCTAAAATAACCTGGTCTTAGTTTTATTCTAGATACCAATCAGCTACATGAGCCCAGGTAATGCCATTTATACACTGACAGAGTATAAAATTTGCAGTTGAAATAAAGTTGCACCCATGAATCTGAGGGCAAAACTTGCATAAACAGAAGTGAGCTCTTTGTGTCAGGTTTCTTGTCACTGGAAGTTCATCCTAAGCAGTGTAAACATGACATAAACTCTGGTGCTGTCCTGCATTAGCCACACAAGGAAAGTACAAAGCATTCTGTCAATATCAACACCTCACTCTGAGCTGTTTTAGCTCACACATCACTTCAACATCACCAGAGGACTGGCAGACAGGACACTACATAAATTCAGGGAGTTGTTTTGAAAGAACTGCTGGGAGAAACTTTTCCCTCCGTGGAGAACGATAGCTCAGCTCAGTGCATTGGAGGATTTTTAATGCTGTACTTGGGTCAGCAATGTGAGAGCCGGGCGGTCAGTGCAGGGCATGGATACCGACTCATCCTGCCGGGACACTCATCCCGAGGGGACCTCGGCCCCTCCACGGGCTGTTCTCCATTCAAACTCTCCCCGCACTTCCACCAGCACGGAGCGGCCCCGAATCAGCTCCGCGTTCCCTCAGAGCCCGCAGCCGTCCCGCAGAGCCCGGGAGCGGCGGTGCCGGGCTGTCCCCACCGCACACTCCGTGCCGGGCTGTCCCCACCGCACACCGGGAGCCGTGCCGGGCAGGCCGGGTCCCCTCCAGCCCCTTCCCGGGGACCGAGCTGTCCCCACGCCGCCCTCGGGAACCCGCCCGGCTCCAGAGCCCGGGCTCCGCTCCCGCTCCCGTCCGCCGGCACGGACTTGTTGCTGCCGCTGCCCCCGCCCGCAGCGGCCGCTCCCGGGGCGGCGGAGCTCCGGCACCCGCGGTCGCCCCGGGAGCGCCGGCAGCGGCCCGAGGCTCCGCCCGCCCCGCGCCCCCCGCGTGTGCCGCCCGCCCGTTCCCCCGCCGCACCTGCCCGGCCGGCCCGCGGCACCTGCTGCCCCGCCGGCCCGCGGCACCTGCTGCCCGGCCGGCCCTCACCATTGTGGTTGACCCAGGTCGGCTTCAGCAGCTTCATTGTTCCCCGCCCGGGGCCCCCGCCGGCCTCCGCCCTCGGGACCCCAGGGCGGCTCCGCCCGGGCTGCCTCCGCGGCCGCGGCGCTCAGCGGCGGCCGGCCACCATGGGCCCGCGCCCGGCGCCGCAGTGCCCGCGCCCCCGGCCGGCCCGAGCCGCCTCAGCGCCGCTCCATGTCCCGGTGCCGCCGCCGCCCCGCCGCATCCCCCGCCCGGCGCCGCCGGCGATCCGGCACCGCCGGAACTCGGCGCCTGGCAACCGCCTAACCGGCCCGGCGGGAAACAGCGCCCCCGACCCCGCCGTTCCCCCGCTAGGCTCCGCCCGCCCTGCAGCGCGCACGGGCGCCCCCTGCCGGGCGGAGCGGGGCGGGGCGGCCGCTCCTCGTAGGGCGCCCCCCGGAACGTTTGTCCTCCGGAACGGGGAAAGCGGGGTCGGAGCGCGGCCGGCAGGGGCGCGGCGCACGCGGGGCCATGTGGGCGGTGGCGGCGGCGGCGCGGGGGCTCGGCGGGGCCGGGCTCAGGTAGGGCTGGGACCGCGCTCCGGGACTGCGCACCGGGACCTGCCCCTGCCCCGGGACCGCGGGGAGGGAGTCGGGGAAGCGGCCCTTAGCGGCAGGGCCTGCCCAGCCCGCTCCCGCCCATTCCTGGGGCTGGGCCTGCACCTGCAGAAGTCGGTGCCTTGGCACCCGGGCCGGTTCGTCCTCCCGTGACAGCCGCAGAGATGCGACAGTCGGCATCGCCCTCCTGGTCTGAACGGCGGTGGTCTGACCTCTCCCATACCAGCTCCTCTGAGGGGTCATTGTCAGAGCTTAAAACTAAAACTGCTCTAACCTATCCAAAACCCGCATCTCTGTCACCCCTCGGTACCCTGGCGGGCTCACACCGACCTGTCCGTATTTGGGATCGGTTACCCAGCTCAAGAGTTCGAGGTCATCTCTAGGCAAACGCTGTGTCCTGCCGTGAATGAAGTGGCCAGAGATGGTTCAAATCTCATCACTGTAAAATGTTAATAACAAGCAGCTCTTGTGCAGAATCAAGGACACCCGAGTCAGTTCCTCCTCAGTTCTTGTGTTGCTTTTCCTCCTGCAGCTCCTGGCTGCCCCAGAGGGTCCCGCTCCGAGGGAATCACTGGCAGAGCTCATTGCTGGGGTTCAGGACATCCCTCCCTGTGAGGTAAGTGCAGCTTTCTTGGAGTCACACAGAAGTGTTTTCCTCCACTGGGGGAACAGAAATTTTCCCAAGTCCACATTTAACCTTTTAACTGTACGCGTTTAACTCTCTATATGCCAGAGCAGTTGGGAACTTTTGGCCCCTTGTGGAGAGTTCAGAGGTGATACAGTTACCACTTTGTGCTTGTGGGTAGCACAACCACAGCTGGAAATGTTGGGATTTATGCTGTGCTCCAGAATTCCCTGCTGGGCAACACCAGGGAAAGCCTGGCTGAACCAGAAACGCTTGGCTGTGAAGGCAGAGGCAGCCCATGTGTATTTCTGTGCCACATTTCAGTGTCTTTGTTTTGTTTTGATGCAGCTTGACTTAAAATACCCAGGTAGCTCTTAGGAGAGGGACTGTTTCACACCATAAATGTTGTTTATTTAGTCTGCCAGGCAGGAATGAGGGTCAATTTGTGTTTGTGGAGTGTGCAGTGATATCTCAGATCTGCATGGAGATGTAATATCTACAGCCTGAACTTGGCTCCAAATGCAGAAATTTCAGAAGCATGTATAAAACCACTTGAAGTCTTCTTTAATGTGAAATAAGAGGAATATTTGTTCAAGGCCAGGTTGGATGGGGCTTGGAGCAGCCTGGTCTAGTGAAAGGTTTCCCTGCCCATGGCAGGAGGTTAGAACTACATGAGATTTAAGATCCTTTCCAGCACAAGCCATTTGTATGATAAACCTGCTAGGCTGCACTCTGAGCCAGTTAAAACAACTCTAATTCAATTTTTTTTGTGGAACTTCCCCAGGTCATTCTGATGTTCAGCACAAAATTGCTTTTCCCAGGCAGTTAACAGTTCTCTCTGCAGAAAATCTCAGCAGAAATGTCACTGGAAATTACATTACTTGAATAAAGCTAATGGCTGGAACTTGTGTCAGGGACAAAACAGTGGAAAAGAAAGTGAATGTTGCTGGTGTTGAATTAAAGGACAAAATATCTCTACTGTTTCCCTTGCAGAGCACAACCAAAGAAGAAAAAGAAAGTGGATGTGAAGAAAGAGCAAGCACAGAAGGAGCGTATGAAGAAAAAGCTTAAAAAGTTGGAAAAAGCTGCCCCAGAACTGATTCCCATTGAGGATTTTATAACCCCACTGAAGTACACAGAGAGCGACAGGTCAGTAGGTCTGCCTTTCACCTATACCTGCACTCACAGTGAATTTCTCCTTCTGCACAACTGCAACACAGTGCCAGCTTTGGTACAAAACCTTACCCACCTCCATCAGAACAAAAATGTGCAAAGGAAATATTTGTTCTTGCTAAAAATAATGAAAAACAGTGCATTTCCTGTTAGAGTGACTGGAAGACCTCACAGACTGACTAAATTATTTGTGAATTCAGTGTATTCTCTGGGTTTGGAGGGGGGGTTTTGCCTGGTGGTGGGATTTTGGGATTTTTGGGTTTGGCATTTTGTTTTTCTTAGCCTGGTCTTTGGAGTCAGGCTGTTTCTCCATTACAGTGTCACCCTTCTCTTCATCAGGGTGCGAAGTCTTCCCGCTCTTTCTCCTGAAGAGTCTGAAAGAAGAGTTTTACTTCTGAAGAAGTGGTGTTTGTTTAAGCAGAAACAAGATGAGGCAGAAAAGAAAGCAATTCAAGTCCTGGTAGAATCTCAGCAGGAGGCTCTGAGGGAGCTGCAGCTGGAATCCGAGGAGCTGTACCAGGCAGCAATCCTGAGGGACGAGGGGCTCTTCCCCTTCGAGAGGGAGGGACCCAGTTACACCCCTCCCCTTCCTGGCTACGATCCCCCCGAGGGGAAATGCATCGACATCACCAAGGTGTACACACAGTGACAGGGGAGCTCCTGCTTCAGTGCCAGGAGGTGCTCAGTGACTGGAGGAAGAATGGAGTAATAAACAATTTTTCCTGCAGGTTACAACACTGCAGGATGTGACTGTAAAGAAATAAATGAAGTATCTCTGTGTTTTAATGACTATCCACCTAGCAAAGCTACATGACCTTACATAGTAATAAAACCAATTTTTTAAAATTTTCTCATATTGCCATGTAACTGTTGCAACCACGTTTCTGTGGTTTGCCCCAATACAAATCAGATCTCTCTCTGCATTCGTTTAAACCTTTATTTTTGAGTAGTTCTGAATAGTCCCACAACACACAGCACCAGTGGAGAGCAGTTCCAGGGTGTGCAGCCCACAGGTGAGAAGCTCTTCAACCACCACAACCCTGATTCTGGAAATGTCTTTAAATGCCAGTGTTTGGGATTGTCCTGAGCCAGCAAGAAAGAGTCCCACCTTGTTTTTCCCCCCCATTTGGCAGGCCTGGAGTGGGTACCTTGTTCCAGAAGTGCTCATGCCAGCTGGTAGGGCAAGAGGCCTTCATAGCTAGAGCATGTATGCATTAATTGAAAAGTGCCTGCTGAAATGAAATCCTGCTATGTAAGTCAACACTAAAAGACCACAACCAAATTAAGCACTTCAAATCTCCCTTTAAAAATATTCAGTGTTAAAATAAAATTTCAGAATTTTTGAGTGAGTGCTAAAGTATTGTAGGGCAGAGGTACAGTTGAATAACTTCAAGATGATGCAGAAGGGAAAAAAAAAAGCATAATTCTGAATTGTGTATTATGTTAATGACCAAACACAGAAAACAGTTTTGTTAATTTGATTTGTCATGGTCAAGTGGTAGATACCAGTCAGATGGTGGGCTCTTCCTGAGCTTCCACACTGGAGCATATTTCTGTTTTTCCATAACTCGAGCTCTTTCACTCTTGCACAAAGCTTCCTGAAATACAGGAAAAAAATATTTCAGTAATAGTGTTGGATGTTCCACTCATACACAGCTGATTTCCTGCCGTGAACATCTGAGATAAAAGAATAAATATTTCTCATGCTTAAGCAGAAGTGCTAAATGTTATCTAAGCAAGCCAGAACACAAGTTTTTAACTAAATAATATTTATATTTTGCCTCTGGCTCCTAAGTTACAAAGGAAACTCGCCCGAAGCTGTCCTGGCCGGCGGGAGGGAGGAGCTGGGCTGGAGCCTGCGCTGCAGGGCTGGGGGTGTCCAGTGCCCGCGGGGCTGGGGCCAGGGGCTTTTCCAGACACACCAGCGATGCCTTTGCTCTGTAAGGTGGCTGATTTCCCTTTTAGGAAGGAAATGTCACAGTAACAGAAACAAGAGCGTTTACAGCTGAAAACTGAAAATTCTCCCTGGTTCCTTCACTGGATTTTAAGACAACCCGACCCACCTCCGGCATTTCCAAACCCTCCCCAACGGCCGCGG